CCTATCAGGCGTGTGAGAAAGCAGGAATCCAGATCCCCAGGTTCTGTTACCATGAGCGCCTCTCAGTGGCAGGAAACTGCCGTATGTGTTTGGTGGAGATCGAGAAAGCTCCAAAGGTAAAAAGATATTATCCGTTCATCTTTAGCCACATTATTTTAGTAGCCACAAGATTGAACAAGCACTGAAAGAGAAGTTGCAATGGAATAGAAACTGCTGTTAATGTTTGTGTTTGAGTGTCATATCTGATTTGTGTGTATTTTGTTGTGTGCCTTCAGCCGGTAGCAGCCTGTGCCATGCCCGTCATGAAGGGTTGGAACATCCTCACTGACTCAGAGAAAACACGCAAAGCCAGGTACAAGTTCAAATACGATTCAGTCTTTTGTCAAACTTTTAAATATGTCCCTTTAGGTAATAAACAACTGTGAATGAACTTCATGAGTGTTTGTGTTTGCATCATTAGAGAAGGGGTGATGGAGTTCCTGCTAGCCAACCACCCACTGGACTGCCCCATCTGTGATCAGGGAGGAGAGTGTGATCTGCAGGTAATTATAGGACAAGGTTATCGACGTTGAAGATTCAGTTGAATGAGATTAGTTGAAAAAGTCAGTTTAAAAACAATCTGCATGCGGTGTTCCCAGGATCAATCCATGCAGTTTGGTTCAGACCGCAGTCGTTTCTCAGAAGGGAAGAGAGCGGTGGAGGACAAAAACATCGGGCCACTCATTAAAACCATCATGACCCGCTGCATCCAGTGCACACGCTGTGTCCGGTAATCATGAACATCCATACCTCGTCTATCAGGAATAATGTGATAATCTTATTGTTTTTTATCGTAATTAAATTAGTGAAATATACTGATATCTTTTGTTTGTTTAATTTGAAGTTTTGCCAGTGAGATCGCTGGTGTGGAAGACCTGGGAACGACAGGAAGAGGAAACAACCTTCAGATCGGGACGTACGTTGAGAAGATGTTTATGTCAGAGTTGTCAGGAAACGTTATTGATGTCTGTCCCGTGGGAGCGCTCACCTCCAAACCCTATGCATTCACCGCACGACCTTGGGAGACGAGGTAGGACAGGGTTTTAATCTTCAGTTAAGCCAATGGAGTTACTGCTATATTTGTTTTGTAAATTCAATCTTCTGCTGTCTTTGTAGGAAAACCGAGTCGATCGACGTGTTGGATGCTGTGGGCAGTAACATCGTGGTGAGCACCAGAGGAGGTGAGGTGATGAGGGTGATGCCTAGGCTGAACGAAGACGTCAATGAAGAATGGATCTCTGACAAGACCAGGTGAGGCGCAGACAGAAAATATAAACCTGTTATTATAACATGTAAATTGATTCAAAAGCATCAGATTTAAAAGTTATATACATACATGTTGCTTTGTAGCTTGACTGATGAGTGAAACTTGTGTTTTCAGGTTTTCATATGACGGTCTGAAGAGACAGAGGTTGACACAACCAATGGTTAAGGACGACTCAGGTCAGCTGACCCCCACTACCTGGGAGGATGCTCTCACTCGTGTCGCTGGAGCAGTAAGTGTGTGTCTGCTTCTTTATGCAACCTGTCTGTTTATTCCTCTTTCTGTAGTTGTACTATGGTGATGGGAGATGTGATACCAATGCTCTCTGTCTGTTAAAAGAGGTATCATCGTATGTGCGTTAATGCTCGTCTGTGTGTGTTTGTGTGTAGCTGCAGAGCGTGCAGGGCAGTGAGGTTGCAGCCATCGCGGGAGGGATGGCTGACGCTGAAGCTCTGGTCTCCCTCAAAGACCTCCTCAATAGATTTGACTCAGAAAACCTCTGCACCGAGGAGATCTTCCCCATGGAGGGGGCAGGGTAAGTCTGCTTATGTGGTCATGAAGGTTGTGAGTCTCTTTATATGTGCAGTGTATCACCATATTTATCAGCTGACTGTTTTTTTTTCTTGCTCTCTCTGCAGTACTGACCTGCGCTCCAACTACCTGTTGAACTCGCGCATCACCGGCATTGAGGACTGTGATCTGCTGCTACTCGTAGGAACCAACCCGCGCTACGAAGCCCCGCTGTTCAACGCCAGAGTTCGCAAGAGGTAAAGTCACACATCACATAGAAAGACAGAAACATGAGGCGTCCATTAAGTTGGGAGAACTGCAAAGGATAGAATTAGGAAAAATACTAGGTCCTACATTACCCATGATGCAGCTCGCCAGCAACTTCAAACACTTTTTAAATCAGGCTCTGTCATAAAATTCTATTCTCCAAATTTAAAATGTGATGATACAATTGATGTCATGTAATGGTTCATTATCACTTATTTCCACTATTTCATCATTAGTTTTCATGATATTTGAACTTATGAGTGTAATCGTTGTCCCATCATCTTCCTTCTCTGTCAGCTGGCTCCATAATGAGCTGCGTGTTGCCATGGTGGGTCACAGTGTTGATCTGAGCTACACGTACGACCACCTGGGGGAGGACACTTTGGTGCTGAAGGAGCTGGCTGACGGCACACACCCCTTCTGCCAGGTAACGTACACAAACAAACATGAAGGCTGATCGGTTCGGAGAATTTGGTGTAAGATGATGAACTGATGTTTTTTTTCCCTCTTCTGTTTTGTCTCCAGGTGCTTTCAGCTGCGAAGCGTCCAGTCGTGGTGGTGGGCAGCAGCGCTCTGCAGCGAGAAGATGGAGCTGCCATTTTGGGCACCGTCTCCACCATCGCTCAAAATGCAAGGACCAGCAGTGGGGTGGAGGAGGGGTGGAAAGTCCTCAATGTCCTGCACAGGTAGAACTTGTGTGAAGTTTGTAAGATTTAATACACGAGTAGTTACTTCCTGCTCATACTTTAAGTGTGTACTATGCGTGTGTGTTTCCAGAGTGGCCAGTCAGGTGGCTGCGTTGGATCTGGGCTACAAGGCTGGTGTGGACGCCATCAGGAACAATCCACCCAAAGTCCTGTTCCTGTTGGGAGCTGATGCTGGCTGCATCACCAGAGCTGACCTGCCTAAAGACAGTCTCATTATCTATCAAGGTATACACACACACATGCACACAGATGAAAAGGAAAGTCAAACTCCACTTATATCCACTTATATATTTTAACCTCTCCATCCAGGTCACCATGGCGATGTAGGAGCACCAATGGCAGACATCATCCTACCCGGCGCAGCGTACACAGAGAAAAATGCCACTTATGTGAACACTGAAGGCAGGAGCCAACACACCCGGGTGGCCGTCACAGCCCCTGGAATGGCCCGAGAGGACTGGAAGATCATCAGAGCTGTGTCTGATGTGAGCAGGATGTTTCTCACAAAGAAAAAACAAACGCTCCTACTGCACGTCAACATTTAATTTGACCACAGAAACGTTTGTGTGTTTGCAGCTGGCTGGAGTGGCGCTGCCCTACGACTCCTTGGATGAGGTCCGTGCCAGACTAGCAGAGGTTGCTCCAAATCTGGTACGGTACGACGACATAGAGGAAGCGAACTACTTTAAACAAGCAATCGAACTTGCCCAGGTACACACACACACACACACACACACACACACACACACACACATTCACACGTGCAATTTTTCACTTCTCTTGATTCACCTGTTTCCTCTCTCAGGCAGTGAATCAGGACCTCATAGCAGCTCCTCTGGTGCCTCCTCAGCTGACAGTGAAGGACTTCTACATGACAGGTACGTGTGTGTGTATTTGGTTAAAATTTTAAATATATAGAAATGTAAAATAAACTTCTCACGTCTGCACCTTTTCTGTTGTCAGACTCCATTAGCAGGGCTTCGCAGACGATGGCAAAATGCGTGAAAGCCGTCACAGAAGGAGCCGCTGCTGTCGACGAGCCATCGATTTGCTGAATCACACCCACATACAAACAAACAATAATAAACTCTCCCTCCATCGACGAAATAACCAACCGACACTTCTCTGGAAAAATCTCAGCGTTGCTCCTTAATTTAAAGTTGTTACTTGTTGTATACAGTTGAATTGTTTTCGCTCCTGAGAACGAGCTTGTTGAACAAAACTGAGAAACGTATAAAATATGAATAAAATCTTATGTCTTTACTCCAGATTCGTGGTTTGTGTCGCTGTTTGTCCTCACGGGAAAATATTAGACTGATCTAGACAGGGAACTGAACAGACCTTGACAAAAAGGTGTAGAATTTGAACAACACATTAACATCAGATTAAAGGCATCATTGCCACCATGGCAATTACGTATGTAACTTAATTCCTTTTTTTTTCGACAGGTTGAGAACTCTTACTTGATTAACTACCTGCAGAGAACAAAATCTGCAGTGGCCCTGAAGTGAAAATCAAAATACAAAACGGCAAATAAGGAAACACAGCAGCAGATGAAGCTATGACGAAATACAGTGACATTTAAGAACATTTGCATTTCAGGGCGAGCATTAAAAGACACCGACGAGCATTTGCCAAAAAATGCACTTTGACGTGTGGTGAAATCTGGCTTAGTGCACAATCCTGCTGACTTACAGGATGTTTGAAAGAATCTGAGTTCTTATCAAGTCACGGCTGCTGGAGGAGTGAAGTAAATAAGCTCAGACTCTAAATGACCTGCGACTGTTTGTTGTCCAGCTGTTATCTGAAAAGCTACAGCTGCAATTACAGCACGGGTGTAATTGCAGCTTCAGTTCCAGACACATTCATTGTGTTTGTTTTTGGGCGTAACACACCGCACCACACCCATGTTCCAAAAACATCCCTCCAGTTCACCAAGCATTTTATTTTTTGAGCCTCTCCAACCGTTATAGTGAGGTGGGAGTTTACCGTCATCTCAGAATCAGTATTCAGGGTTTTGGCACGTCTCTTAAAAGTGTGTTTACACGTGTCTTGAATGGATCCAGAATGGGAACCTGGCTCCTGGAGATGGACAAATGGCTCTTGTCATATACTGTTCCCTGAAGAAGAGAGAGAGAGAGAAAGAGAGGGAGAGAGCCCTTAAAAGCAAACACAAGCAGAGAGGCACACACACTTAAACACACAGAGACGGAGAGGAGACAGTCCCATCCCTTCTCTTAGTCTGCTCAGTGTCTGACTCTCAACATTATTTCACTCCATATCTGGAACTCATTTCCACCTAAAGGTGAGTATTGCTGCAACTTCTAGTGTTTACTTATAGATCCACCTAACTATATATATTTCTATGTTTGTACATTGGGATATATTTTGGTCTCCTCTGTAGGGTTTTCATGCTGGGACAAACAGGACAGGAGGCAGTGGACTAACAGTGGCCCTGGCAGTAAAATGGTTCCAGTTAAACTCCTCATTCTGGGAGCTCAGAACACTGGAAAAACCGGTAAACTCCACACAGCAACACACACACACACACACACACACACACACAGGATGGGCATACGAGCGTAAATCTTTGGATTATATAAGAGCAGCAAAAATCCAACTAAAGGAATTTAAAGGTGAGTTTAGGGTTAGATGTTGTTCATGGTTGCAGAGGTTTTTTTGCTAAATATGGAGACGTTACACGGGGGTCGAGGTTGACCCGTCTTCCTGAGCACTGAAGTGGAAACGTCTCCAAACACTTCTGTGACCTCGTCTGACTGTTTTACTGCCAAACCACTGTCTGTCTCCCATCATGTCCACTTTCATGGTGGAGATTCCTTCACTGTGTTTTGCTTTTCATACATGAATCATGATTTCCTTGAAATATTAGAATCCTTTTCTAGCCTAACAGAAAAAAACAACTAAAAGAACATCACTCAAATATCATTTAGGTAATTTTATTAAAATCAGTATAACCTTCAATCAACTTCTGTGTATAAACAAGACTATTTGCATCAGACACCTGCACAACAGATTTATTTCATACATGTTCCTGTGCACATATATGATGATCTTTCCTAGAAACGTCAGACATGCTTTCACCCTTAATATGTGAAGGATGCAGGAGAATGTTGGTTATGTTGTGTGGTTGTTGTTGTTGCAGGATCATTTTAAAAACTACTGTACGGATGGAAGCTTTGTGGAAAGATGAGGATTTTTCACTTTCTTTAACATAGTCAGCCTGTCTGTCTCACAGACATTTCCATGGATCTTGATGAAAAGAATTTAAAGTGCAGCTTGATTGAATTGAATGGGATGGAGGTATGCACCCTAGTTGTCTGTGCAGTCTTGGGTCAGTTCACAATGGAGATGAGAGGAATTTAGTTTCTGATATTCCCATAAAAAACATAAAGATTGTGAATTGTCAAAAGCAGCTGAACCTCAGAGCAAAAGTCATCTGTAAAGCTTCGAATAACAAGTCGAAGAAGCTTAGAGAACCTTTTTCAATGTGTCTGAAAATGAGCCCTCGAACACCAGACGCTCAAGTCAAACAAACATGAACCCGTCCAGACGCCTTCCACACAAACACTGAGTGTTTGTGCATCTGTTTAAACAAGTCAGGAAACTTCACAAAGAGGATCCTTCTCAAAGCGTCAGTGACATAATGTAACATGAACACACAGATCAGATGCAAGTGTCTGTCTGTGTGTGTGTGTAAATTCTGCAGAATAACTTTGTGAGTGTCTGCTGTGTTTTTGGCTCCAGTCACCGAGTCTGTTTTCTGTCTCCAGCGCTGTGCGTCCGTTTCATAACAAAACGCTTCATTGGCGAATACGACCATAAAAAAGGTAAGACCGCAATATCACAATAAACGTTACATTGCTTAGATCACTGATTAGATAATATGAATATAATGTGTCTGTTACTTTGCTGCAGAGGTGACCTACAGATGTAGTCGGGTGGTGGACCAGGAAGCTGTGGACATGGAGATTTTGGACATAGCTTGTAAGGTAAGTTTTGAAATTGTGTGTCTGTGAATTCCTGGATGACAGAGCCCAGGGAGCAGTTAAGGCCAAAGGATCATGGCCATTAATACACACACACACACTCACACACTCTTCAAAACTCAAAACTCTCTTTGGCAAATAAGGACATTTCCTTTATTCATGCCAATAAATCTTTTTCAATGGTCTTTAATATCTTTGAATGCGTCATAGTTTCCCGCATTCACTGAGGCATGATCTTCTCCAGGAGAGCACTGTGGCATCTCTGGAGTCATCTATCCGCTGGGCTGATGGTTTCCTGCTGCTCTACTCTATCACACAGCGGCTCAGTTTCCTGGAGGTCCCGCGACTCAAGAATCTCATCGACCAAACCAAACAGAGCCTGGGTAGGAACAGACTCCTCTGACTGTGACATTACAGATTTCATTGGGACATGTGGAGTTTTTCACTGTAAATAATTCCACAAGGAGATACCAATAGTCAAAACCTAATAAGTGGCTTTAAGTCCACTTATTTTGTAAGATCATTTAATTTCTAATATCCCTACACAGAAACTTTACTATATTTTACTGTCAGTGTCTAAAAGACGTATGAGACAGAATGTACAGAGAGTCACTGTTGAGGTGATGAGCCAGCAGTTTGATCTCCAGAGGAACTGTGTGTTCACTATGTTCACTGTGTAAGTGCAGCTGGTCTCTGTTCATCCTCTGTTTGACATCTGTCCATTGTCATCTACTCACACACACTCACATGTACCTTCCATGTTAAGAGGGACTTGTCCCCTGTAGGTAACATGTTAACAGGACACAGAGATAACAACATCATTTCGGTTTATTGTCTTCTCTCTCTGTGTGTGTGTGTGTGTGTGTGTGTGTGTGTGT